TGGGAAAGCACTTAACCACAGCTGGTTGGTGCTTGGTGCCTGTTTCGTGGGAGAAGGGCTGCCTGCAGCTGGGTGCCTGGGACCAAGGGAGGCACCTGCTGGGGCACCAAAGCCTGAGACCCCTGGAGAATTATAGCCCTAAGTAGCTACAGAAAACAGCTCTGGAGGCAGGGCTCACTTCTCTGAGTACTCCCTTCTCAATCCTTGGCTCCACACAGTCAGCACAGAGCACCTTACTGAGGCTGGCAGGCAGGAGGACAAGGCAGTGACACCTTCTGAAGACAGAGGCATCTCTGCTCAGGCTGGCCACGGACCCTGCGAGGAAGCAATGAGGGGGCAACATGGAGGCCAAAAAAGGAAACCCAAGGCTTAAGCCTTGTGGTTCATGTACAGCTGGTTGTTGGGAGCCCATAGGTGAAGAGCAAATCTGGGGACAGAAGCAAGAAGGGACCTGAGGGGCTTTGGAGTCTGGTTGAAAAGTTTCATAGAAGCCAATAAAGGCAGCCCTCTTGGGGCCCCATGCAATGGCTCAGTGGCTAAATCATCTCCTGGTAAGTGCCAGGATCCCATATGGGCACCTGGTTTGGGTCCTGGCTGCTCCATTTCCCAGCTTGTAGTCTGGGAAAGCAGTAGGGGGACGGGCCAAAGCCTTGGGACCCTGCACTCAAGTTGGGGACCCAAAAGAACCTCTTGGCTCCTGGCTTTGGATCAGCTCACCTCCGGCCATTGCAGCCACTTGGGGAGTGAACCAGCAGATGGAAGATCTGTTTCTCCTACTCCTATTGCATAAATCTGATCTTCCTTTCCAATAAAAATAAACAAATAATTTAAAAAAAAAAAAAGGTCCTCTTGGTCCCAGCTCATGCCTCCTGGCTCCCTTCACCTGCCGTCTCTCCCAGCACAGAAGGGCACAAGGTCCCAGTCTCAGAGACAGTGGGGATCAGCTGCTTGCGGCAGAAGCCTGTGAAGAAAAACCGATGGAGGAGCAGGCGGCCACCGGCTCTGGCCTACGCTGCACTGACCCTGCCAACTCCTGGCATTTCTAACTCACCCCGAGCCTGCTACCAATCTCATTTCCATCTCTCATTTCGCCCTAGCTCCAGGCGGCCTGGCAACCTCCTCATGAAGAGCTCAGGCACACAGATTGGAGACCTGTCCCTCTCCCCACTCATCCAAGTCTCAAAGACTTTGGGGTTCCCTCCATGTGACTTAAGGCCCACCTCCTGTCCAGCCCCATCAGAGCCTGGCCTCCCCCTCCATGGGCAGACTCCAGCCTTTGTCCCCCGCCTCTACTCATCCCAGTCCCAGGTACACAGCAGGGCAGATCAGGGTGAGCACCTCCCCGGGCCCCAGGTCAGCAGAAGGCTCTCCCTGGCCCTCTGCTCCCACGGCGTGTAGCTCTTGGCTGCTCTATTGTTTTCCCAGCAACTGCATTTCTGATTTCACATCCACTCACAGTGGGAAACGGAGAAAACTGTCACACTGCAGCCGAACGAAGCCACTCCTGAGCACGCCACCAGAACACCTGGCTCATTCCTTACACTTTTATGCATCGATCTGTCTTTCCCATGGGAATAAGAACACTGTAAGAACTTCTCTGTCTCAATGGCTTCACTCCCGTATTACAAGGTGAGTGTTTCCTCACATGAGGTGGTCTTTAACGTCTGTGTTACAATTCAGCAGCAGGACTACCGGCAGTTCTTCCATCAACACTTCCAGAGGGGAGCTTGGAGCGTCTTCAGGCACAGAGCGGCACTAGATGCTCTCCCACCCTTTCCCTAACAAGGACCACTTTCTGTGGCAAGACCTGTGATGAAAGTGCAATTTGCCAGAAGGCATGAGACAGAGTGGCAGCTGGCCAGCAGATGGGGGAGCTCCAACCTTTGAGCTCCATCTGTCAGGGAGCACCTGTCCATCCCCACTGTCCTGTTCCTGACCCCTCCAAATCAAAGACCCGTTGGGCACGCAGGTAAGAGAGCATGGGAAAAGCTCAACTCCCAGTGCTCACCTGTGCAGGAGCAGCAGCCGGGGGGAGGCTGCGCTAAGACCACACAGGATGCAGCAGGCCAGGAGACACACTCCCAGCTTTCTGCAGGACTTAGTAAGTGGTAATCTGGGGAGCCCCTAAAGGTGGCCCTGGGACCAAGTGACATGGACCACAAGGAAGCAGGTTTTGATTGTCTGAAGCACATTCGAAATCAGCCGGCGCAAGGGGAAGGATGAGGGGGCTACGACTGAGAGACAGTGAGTCCTCCATTGGGAACACATCATAGCAGAGATGATATGGGTGGGAGGTGGCACAGGGTGGATGGCCACACTGTAGGACACTGCAGGCCACCGTGGGTGATACCCTCCATGTCTGCTCTCCTACAACAACACAGAGGAACTCATTAGAAGGAATTCCATAGCAGCACCTTGTCCATGAAATCTACTGCTGTCCCTAACACATCTGGGACCCAGCTTCCTGGGAGCTACTCCATATCTGTGTATTAGAGACTCCAGTGCAGGGCCCATACTCTGGCATAGTGGGTGACCTGCAATGCCGGCATCCCATATGGGTGCCAGTTCCAGCTGCTTCGATTCCCATCTAGCCCCCTGATAATGTGCCTGGGCAAACACCAGAAGATGGCCCAAGTGCCTGGACCCCTACACCGACATGGGAGACCCGGAATAAACTCCTGATTCCTGGCCTCGGCCTGGCCCAGCCCCAGCTGTTGCAGCCATCTGGGGGAGGGAATAGAAGAACTCTCTGTAACTCTACCTTTCAAATAAAAACAAGGATAAAAATAATAAAATAAATAATCTTTTAAAAAAATTAAGAGTCTTTAGGGAACTTTAGAATCAAAGGAAACATTCTTAGCCTGCTGAAAACCAAACCTCAGGGGGACATGCCATAGCTAACACGATGTAAAGTGCCATGTGCAACAAGGGACTGTCTCAATAGCAAGAATGCTCACCTTCCGTGGTATTTTTTTTCCTGCTTGCTAAAACTTAATTAGCCTGACAACCCATCTGGCAACTCACATGCAATTACCCAGGATGCTCTGCGTGGCTGCACAGGCCACGGCAGGTATCTGAAACAACATGCCCAGGCCCCAGGGCACTCAGCAGGCCGTCCTGTACAGGCCCCCCTGTACAGGCCCCACCTGCAGGCTGCCCAGAACCCAGAGAGTCGTTGGGAGGACTGAGCTGCTGGCCTCCTCACCAAGGGTCCTCCAGGGTAGGAAGGGGCATGTCTCAACTCTGACTCTGTGCCTCGTATGGATGTCTGGCCCAGGGCCACCTTTCCCCACAGGACTGCTCAGCTAACCCTGGTCCAGAGCCCGGGCAGGGCAGGAAAGCAGTTCTAAGGAGTGTGAGGGGAGGAAATCTTCCCCTTTCCACAAGTATCAGAGGGGTGACTCTTCGGCCCAACATTATCCTCACTGGTCCGTCAGGCAGCCAGTCTGAAACAGGGATAATGCCCCACAGGCCAAGAGCCAGAAGTGAGCCACCGCTGCCCACCACCTCTATCCTGGCTTTGTTGCCCTTCCAAGGAAGGTGGTGAGTTAGGGTTAGGTCACAAGAACCATAAACATACTATTTAACTTTTAAAAATAAACTGCTATTTTAGAAATGACGACCTAAACACTAAAAAAAGCCACTATGCCAAAGCTGGCTTTGGCAGGATATCTACCTGCCTGGATAAGGCAGGGGCCTTCGCCTGGGTCCCCCTGGAGGCCTTGGGTCAGTCAGCTCCCTGGGCATGAGACTCAACCCCACCCGTGGGAACCCCGAGGCCATGGCAGCGGCTCTGTGCTGACCTGGACCCAGGCAGAGGGCGAAGTGGCGCAGGGTGAGATCTGCTTCAAGCACACGAGAACTGCCCACCCCAGGACCGTGACAGCAGGGATGAGGCCTTCTAGGTAGCAAGGAGGGGCAGGAGCAGGAAGGGCTTGCTAGATCTACCTCACACCGAGCTCTCAGCTAACCTCTGCCACGCAGGGGACGGGAGCACCCACACAGGGAGCACGGGCTATGCAGTACAGTGGTGTGGGCCCAACCCCTGGAATCCCAGTGCTGAGGCACACATTTTCCCTCTAAGGTAGCTGACTCCTCCAGTCCCACTCCACCCATGCCAAACAAGCCAGCCAACCACCACTTGCCTCACAGCGACAGTGCATGCTCAGGACTACGGTAAAGCCTCAATGAGCTAACATGTGCAAAAGCTCTCTGGGTAGTGGGAGCACATGGGAAGCACTAATAAGCAGTGCCAGCGGCCAGGGCCACGACTGTGCCATCAACTGCTGCTGCTGCTGCTGGGGGTGGTGCAGATGCCAGCTTAGCTCACTGCCCAACCCAGCGGGCTGCCCAGGGAGGGTCTCCAGGAGAGCACCGGGAATGGCCTCCTTCGTCTGGGCTGTTTTTTGGACACATGAACACAGGATCCAGGGCCCTCAGTCCCAGCCGGGCCCCTCCTCAACGGGGAGTCAGAGCAAGGGCACCCTGGCCTTTGCCTTTCTTTTTTCCTAAGAGCACAGAAAAAAGCAACCAGGCCCTCCAAACCGACTTAGCTCTCCTCTGGGCCACCTTGGGGAGGCCCGAGCCCATGGGCCTGTGTGGTCTAGGTCTTCACTTTGGGCGCTGGCCTTTGCCAGGCAGAGGAGAGGTCTTTAATCAGAAAATCACTTGACTTCAAGTTCTGGCAAATAAAGGAAACTCCTTGGGTCCAGACAACAGAGTGTCATGCAGGGAACCCTGACGCGCTGCCCACTGAAGTTCCTGCCCTGGGTCTGTCTGCCTGCCGTACAGCAGGTGGCTGAGGTGTCAGAGAAGGGACCTTGGAGAGGAATGAGGAGCCTGAGTCCAAAGCCCTCCTTTTAGGGATGCAGACCTGCCAAGAGCCAGCCCTGAGAGCTGGCTTTTGGAGCAGGGCTGGAGTGTGGTGAGCAGGCATGGGCCCCACCCTGGACTGATGTCCTTGGGACCCGGCGTGCTGTCAAGGCTCCCGCCACACTTACCAGGAAGCGCACATCGTCGAAGCCATTCAAGAGCAGTTTGCTCTCATACCGCTGCAGCCCGATCGACTCCAGCCACTCCCCGACGCTCTGCTCCAGCGTCCGCGAACCTGACGAGAGAGGAATCGGCAGACGCTTGAAAAGGGAAAACCCATTAAGGCGGTAGCAGCGGCACTCTGAGGAAGACAGATGGCACTGCCACATCATCGTCATTACCATGAAGCAGGCAAACTAAGTACAAGAGAACAGAGGGCAGCGGACACGCAGCTCCTCTTCTGTGGACTGGCCAAGGGCAGGCTGCCTGTGCTAGTTACACACTGCCCGGCCGCCGCCAGCTCACACCCCTCAGGCTGAGCTGCTCCAGGGTCGGCAGGCAGGCCCACCCTGACAGTCTCCGCGTCCTCTCCTCGTCAGCGTTCGCACTGAGGAACTGCAGATGTGCTCCAGTGTACGCCAGAGGGGCTGGGAGCTCCCCTAGTGCCCACAAAGCCCTGCCATTCCTCGGGTCCATGCAACATCGGGAGCTCGTGGGGGATGTGCCGAGGGCAAGTTCTGCAGCCTTGCAGTATAGACGGGTCAGGAGAAAGCACACGTCTTCATGCAGCCGAGGAGTGCAGGCGGGAAGCAGTGGCGGCTGCAGTGGCGGCTCAGGGACACCCAGCACATGCAACACAAGCAGCACAGGACATGGCAGGGGGAGAAAAGAGACTTTTACTTGTTTTCCCCCAGCAGTCCCGGAATAAGCAAACCATGGCCTCTGGCCTGTTGCACTCAGAACCTCAAGGTGACAAGGAGCTGAGCAGGGCACATGGGCCAGGGCCCGGGAAGCAGACTCAGGCGTGGCTGTGCTGGCTTGGCAACATTATGTTCCCCTGGGCTATGGGGCCAGCAGAGCTGGGGCCCTGGCCATAGCTACACTCTGGTGGCCAGGAGGCGGGGCATCTCCTGGGCCCGGGTGCTGTCTGAAGAGCAGAGTGCCTGGGTTGAGCTGGTGGCCGGGAGCTTAGCGTTCATTTTCCTCCTCCAAGAGTGGCTATTCCTGTGACTGCTCAGGTGGCCAGCAGGCAAGGCAGATCTGGTTCTTGGCTGAAGATGACAAAACAGGCAGAGGAGGAGGAAGTGGTCCTCCGTCAGCTGAGCCGTGGGAGCTTAAGTCTGTTCACGTCCCGCGCTGCTCTCTTGTTGGTTGAGTGAGAAAGACGGCGACTGTCATTCCCGGGTCTCCGGATCTCCACGTCCTCCTCCGAGCATGAGAGGGGCAGGGGGACCTTTATCTTTTGCGTTGCTCCGTCAGGACAGAGAGGTCAGAAGTTCAACCCTGCGCGGCACACTGTGGGGCTTCTGAGCTGTGCAATTTAAGCCCCAGCCCACACCTCTGGTTCTTGGAGAAAAAAAAAGGGGGCATGAGGAAGGAAATGGGAGAACCAACTATGAAATCATCACCTCCAGTGAACTCTTGACACGGTGAGTCGTTCTGTTATTCCTGGGCACCGGTGCCTCTCGGGCAGGACAATGCCGATTTGCTTGGCTACCAAAGAGACTCTGGTGACCAACTGCGGGGGCTTCCACCCAGGATCCTGTGTCCTTTGCAGAACAGACGGTGGTTAGGGACCCAGCGGTCGGTCAGGTGCACACGGCAGCAGCGTTCGCAGATGCTGAGTTGGTGGGCTGAGTTCTGCCCTTGAATGAGGTGGTCTGTGCCAGGCACCTAAGCGGCAGGCTCTTGTGTGCCTGCAAAGTCAAGTGTCGCCAGCTGCTGATTCATTCCTGCTTGTAATCCCCGGCCGGCCGGCTGTGGTCCTGCCTGCTGCCAGTGGGTGTGTGCGCTCACAGGACCGCAGCTGAATGCTTTGTCTAAAGGCTCCTGGGCTCCACGCTGCCTGCTGCCGGCTCCACAGTCCTTGCTCACTCATAATGTCTGGCCCTCCCCTTTCTCCCCTCCCTGCCCTCCCCCTTCCACGCTCAGGAAAATACATCAGGGATCGGACACTGGAGCAGAAGCTGCTGCTGCTAAGGGGGCTGGAAGACTGCGGCGCCAGCGTGAGAACATGACAGATTCCCCAGTGCCGAGGCTGACCAGTGGAGATGCACAGGGAAGCTGGGACAGGGTGACATTTTACCTGCAGTTCAGGGCTGGGGCAGCTTATCAGGAAGAACAGAGGGGGACCATTTCTGAAGGCTGGCCGACAGAGTCTGGGACAGAAGACACAAGAATGACTCTGCCTAAGGGTACAGCCTGCAGCTAAGTGGCCCCTCTCTCTCCACTTTAGGAATAATTGCTTCTCATTGAACAAAAAAAAAATAATAAATAAATAAAAAGGCGAGGAAAGGAGGCCTGTCCCCCTTAGGTAAGGGAACCAAACAGTTCAGGCACAGAATTCTCCTTAGACTTCTAGCCCTAGGGGAAAGAGAGACATCCAGGGGACCACACCAGTGTGCTGTAGAGTTGAGAAGGGAAGGGCCATGGACATAGAAGCAGGACCACATTCCACCAGCGCCGTGAAGGGTATACAGCGACAGCAAGGCTGGGGCTGCTGTCACCCCCTGCACGTGCTGGAGGTAGGGGGCAGGCCGCAGCCTGAAAATGTGTCCAGGCTTTGTTACTGGGAGATGAGGCCCCAGAAGGAGTCTGCCTTCAACAGCTGCTCAACAGAGAATGGGATTGGCTTTAGCCAGAGCAAGCCATGCAGTTCTTTCTGCCCGACAGAGCAGGCTTCGTGGAGCAGAGCCAGGGCGTCTGGGTCTGCAGGAAGACTTACCCTCCCGGGCTTCCGAGGATGGAGCTAATTGTCAAACATGGGACGAGTCAGTTACAGACCACGCCCTTCCTGGGTAACTAGCTCTGGTGCAGGCAGCCCAGCTGCCTAGGTCCCCCCAAACACGACTGAGCTTCACGGGAGGACTGCCCGCTACTCTGGGCAGAGTAAGCAAACCCACGCTGGGTTCAGGGCTACCTGCTGGCGAGCACACTCTTCCTCCCAGGCTGCCAGCCCAGAGCCTGGGTCTCTTCTCAAGCCGAAACCCAAGGACAATGAGAACTCTGTCCCTGGCCACCCAAGACAAGCAGCAATTTTGCCTTGGGGTCTGAGCTGAAGGATGATACTTTGTGAGAGCCTGAAGGAAACTCCTCTTGACCAATGCACTGAATCTGTGAGCCACACTCTGCATGCCTCATGTCCTGGCACAATGCCAACACATGGGCTGGGACCGGCTCCATGATGTCGGTGCACAAGCCCTTTGTTCTCTTTATCCTAAGCTGTGGATATGTAGGAAGGGTCAACAAAATGAGCCCTAAAACAAGCTTGTGCATTGGAATCCAGAGACCCAGGGATGGAAACAGAATACTTCTCTATACTCACACGGGTCCATGGGAGGGAGAACTCACACATAGGACCAGAACAGCAAGGGAAGAGCTCAAAGAAGGCTCTGCATGTGGTGCTGCCAGGACTCCTGAGTGATAAAATCCAGGAGCAATGGCCTGCTTCTGACTCAAAACTGCATGGGCTTGGGGCCTGGCGCTGTGGCCCAGCAGCTAAAGTCCTCGCCTTGAACGTACCGGGATCCCATATGGGCACCGATTCTAATTCCGGAAGCTCCACTTCCCATCCTGCTCCCTGCTTGTGGCCTGGGAAAGCAGTTGAGGATGGCCCAAAGCCTTGGGACCTTACACCCACATGGGAGACCTGGAAGCAACTCTGGGCTCCTGGCTCCAGATTGGCTTAGCTCCAGGCACTGCAGTCACTTGGGTAGTGATCATTGGATGGAAGATCTTCCTCTCTGTCTCTCCTCCTCTCTGTATATCTGATTTTCCAATAAATAAATACATCTTAAAAAAAAAAAAACTGTATGGGCTCACAGCAGTGTGCAGTCTCAACTGAACTGACTGTTCCTGCTCTCATCCCACCTGTCCCACGGGGTCGCCTTGGTGCTTAAGCTATGTGGGTGGGGTTTCACACACTGGTGACGGTAGCACCCTGGCCATGCACTGACAGGGTCGTTCAGGGGTATCTCTGCCTCTGTCCTGAAGCCCAGAAACCTGAGCCTCCTAGAAATTTCTGCTTTTATCAGATTTGCTGATGGCCTTTGGCAACAGTGGGCGACCCTTGCTTTTACGTCTGGCTGGCTTCAGAGGCTTTGGTATCTCCCCTCTCAGGGGCCAGAACATGTGGGTTTGCACTCTGACCTTGGCACACACAGCAGCACATGGGGTCTCCAAGCAGAGGAAAATACCCAGGTGCATATGGAAGATAAGCCTGTCTGCTCCAGTGAACCAAGTGAAGATCACAAATAACTCTCCTAAAGGCAAAAACGAATCCCACAATTTCTTAGAGTAATGAGACCACGCATGCTGGCAAAACGGGCCCATCACATCACGTTTCTGAAGGCCCAGAATTCACCCTGCCCATTTGCATCAAAATCCACCCCATTATGCTGCAGTAGCTCAGTGCTGACAGACGAGTGCTGACTCTCTGCTCATGGCCTGGGAAGGGCAGCAGAGGATGGTCCAAGTGGATGGAGCTCCTGCCTCCTGACTTCAGCCTGGTCCAGCATTGGCCACCTGCCTCTGTGTAGAATGAATCAGCAGATGAAAGCTCTCTCTCTCTAACTGTGATCTTCAAATACATTTAAACATTTTTTTAAGATTTTAATTTTATTTGAAAAGCTGAGACAGAAACAGACAGATCTTTCACTTGCTAGTTCCCTCCCTAAATGTTTCAACAGCCAGAGCTGAACCAGGACGAAGCCAGGAGCCTGCATCCCTCCTGCAGGGATGATAGGGACCTCAGTACTTGAGCTGCCGTGTGCTGCCTCCCAGGGTGCAGAAGCGAGCCAGGAAATGAAACCAGGCCTTCTGATGTAGGATGAAGGTGTCCCAAGAGGCGTCTTCACTGCCGTGCCAAATGCCTGTGCCTCAAATGCAGAGCTCTGGAAATGGAGTTGGTGTTTAACTCAGTCCTCAATGTTTATTCCCAACATATATCAGCCCCTTGGAGAAGTCTGAAAACCACAAGACAGTGTTGAGATCGCTGAGCAGAATCTAAGCAACTGTGTGGAAATGTCCACAAATGCTTAGCCAGAAGGGCCACTTCTGCGAATTCCAGCATACTCTACAAGTGATCTGGGCTCGGCCCTCACCCCAGAGGGATGAGGCTGCTGCAGGGAGGGCAGTGCGCAGAACCAAGACTGAGACAAGTCAAGGGAGCAGGAGCCTGCATTCTCTGAATCTCTCATTATGAGTAATGACTTCAGGGACAAAAAAACAAGCACAGCAGCTATTCACTGAGCTCCACCTTCGCATACTTAACTTACAACAAACCCTTGAGGTTGGCCCCATCATCTAGCTGTTGCAGATGGGGAATTAGCTGCTCAGAGAGATTAAGAGCCCAGCTGAGAGACACACTGTGGCTAGAGTCAGGAAGCCCATCTAGCATTGTGAGGCTCTAGGCTCTCCCCATGGAGCCCTACGGCCCCAGCAGCTCCTCTCTCCCCAACATACACATTCGTCGCAGCTGGCAACCAAGGCTACAGAAGCACCCAGGGGAACCAGGAATGCTCCTTGAGGCTGACAGGCCAATCTTGGGTGGAGCTTCCTGAGTGACCACAGAATTTCACGCCTTTGGGACAAACACTTTCATCAAATGGAGGGAGGTCAGTTGCGTGGCTGGGCAGCTGTGAGCTGGATGCCCAGGTGCCAGGACTATCTGCAAGCGTTTAGGGTATGGATGGGGAGAGAGGCATTCTAAGAATACCCCCCGCCCCAACCAGCTCCTGTTTCAAATAAGCCAACAGAGCCAGACGTCACCCCTCAGTCTTAGAAATGGAAAGAATGACCAAAGTCATAGAGCAAAAACGGTGTCTAAACAGACAGACAGATAGAAGGAAGAAGTGATTCTGGCGCATGCCACCTGTTCAGGGCCACTGCAACCCACTGCTCTGCTACCGTGGTGCGTGAGGCAAGTCAAGAGCCCCACTGGGCTCATGGAACCCAGCTGGGGAGATCAACTGTGGAGGCACCCTCCAATTTAGTACAGCCTAAGAAAGCTAACTCATTTAAAGAAATGAGTTCCTCCCAGGCACTCTAAACTTTGCGCATGTTGCCCACAGAAAGGCACCATGGTCCCCCAAGTTCTAGCAAAATGGGCTGTCCAGAAATAGGAAAGTTTGGGTGGGAGAGCATGCCTGTGTCTGAGGACACCCCATCATCCCCTCAAACATCTATCTCCTGTGTCAGAGCAGTCTGAGCACCAAGGAGCCGGGGTTGTGGTTGCAGGCAGCGTGGCCACTGGGCACCGTACCTGAGATCTTCTGCTGTTCCTGAGAAAAGTCGATCCCTTCGCCAATAGAACTCATGATCTTCTCAATCTTAAATGGAAGGAAGAGAAAGAAAACACAAAGGGAAGTCAACTTTGGGTTCACCATTGTTGTTGGCTCGTTATCAGGACCCCTGGAGGATGACCTTCTGGGGTCCTTTAGACAATCCCACACCCACCCCAGTTCCAACCTGCAGGGAACCACAACTCCCTGCTCCTCAGATCTGGATCAGCCTTGTTTGGCCCTGGTCAGGGAGACATGCAAACAGCTCTGGAGGAAGTGAGAAATGCGCAGAGTGCCTCTCTGAGTAGGTACTGTGTACCACCTCCACCCCAACAAAAACTGGGTAGGGGGCACAAGAACATGCCTGACCTGGCACGTTTCACTGCTCACCTAGCATTTAAATTCTAACACAGGGGAGGCTGTGCCAGTTTCCATCCATGCTACACCTCAAGTGCAGATAGGGGTGCGCCTGGCAAGGTTGTAGGCATTCGACCAGGTCATTGTGACTGCATGACTGCCACTCTGAGGTGTGATAGCTGAGAAAGGAGAGCACCTGCCCACCCAGGCCCCTTGAGAGCTGGGGTGAAGGTAGCACACAGTCCTGACACGCACTCCTTTGGCTGCCTGGAGGCCAGAGTCCTGGACAGATTTGTACATTCAGGGGATGAGAAGGGACATGCTCCCCGAGGCCTCAGTCTCAAAAGCCTCCAAATGGCCCCAGCACTGCCCTCTGTCTGGATCACCTGTCCCAGACACTTCCCTTCCCCCTTTCTGTGCTGCAGTGATAGTGAGCTCATTCCAAAGGCATGAAAAGAAGACCTTGTGTACCAGGGCTTGGATGCTCCTCCCTCTAAGTGCAAGTACGAAGCCTAGGTCTGACAATCAGCACAACTCCCAAGCCAGCCTCTAGCTGGCAGACACAGACACACACATCTATCACCCAGGTGACAAGCTGAGAGCAAGCAGGTAGGAGCCTGGGGACGTGTTCTCCTGCAGGTCCACAAGTGACTGCTGGCTCAGGCTGTTTGCTTGTTAACGCGATTGCCAACGGCCAGCCCTGAGCTTGACAGAAGCGGAGGGAAGCAACACCAGCCTGACTCCCACAGAGCGAACTGAGTGTGTGTCACTAGTTACTGGCCCCAGACGCCCAGAGGCAGGCCTCAGAAGCAGGGAGGGGGAGCACCACAACTTGAGAGCCCCATCTCCTACCACGTGTCATTTCCTCTGGCTCTGCCCATTCCCAGGGCTACCTCCTCCAACCAGGATGACCCATGTCTCCTCTTCCTCCTGAAGGAGGAGAGTGGAGATGGAAATCAGCTCCCATTCTGGGACAAGCATATTAAAAGGTATAAACATAATGCATCCAATCAAAGACCTAGCACATCACAGATGCTCAGTAAAAGGTTAGTTTGTTTTCTGCTTCCCTTCTGTTGGACTCTGGGTGTTCTAGTCTGGTAAAACTTATTGCCACCCCCCCACCCCCCGTTTTTGTTACCTACTTTAAAAAATTTTTTATTTTATTTTACTATTTACTACAAAGACGAGGGGATTACAGACCCACGTGGGCGTCTGAGTCTGACAAGGATGGGAAGGGAGGCGGAGACGGGTAAGATAATACTTCCATTTTCCCTCCCATGTCTGTGGTGGAGTGAGGACAATTTCTTAAGTTTTAAAAATATTGTTACTTGGCTTTTTGAAAAGTAATGCATTCACAGACCTCAAAAAATATAAAAGGTCATACAGCAAAAGGTCAAATATATGGCTATATGTTGATTTATTCAATCTGACATATGTCTGGTTTCTAGTCTTAGCCAATACCCCATATGTTGGAGTGCAGGTTCAAGTTCCAGTTGCTCCATATTGATCCAGCTCCCTGCTAATGTGCCTTTCCTGGAAGAAGATGGCTCCAGTACTAAGACCTCTGTCATCCAATGCGACCAGGATGGAGTTTCTGGTTCCTGACTTTGGCCTAGTCCATACAGGGTTGTTGTGGCCATTTGGAGAATAAACCAGCAGATGGAATTCTATCTCTCTCTCATTCACTGTTGTTCTTTCAAGTAAATAAATTCCATATGTATATATACACATATATATGTGTATTTAAATATGTAAAACCTTTGAAAACAAAATGAGGCAAATTTTTCCTGAGTGAAGTATTCGCAAAATGGCTCCATTAGCCTATGGGTCTCTTCTCCAGACCAAAGAGTGTATGTGGGAGAAACTGCCACACTGTTGTTTGGATGGAATCAAGCATATTTTATTTACCATTTCACCTCCTGGCCCATGACAATTAGGCAGCCTTGCTGAGTGAATGAAAAAATGTATGAATGGATGAAAGTGTAGTTTCCATTGATTTAGAGCCAAGAATAAAAAGAAGTTACATTCCAAGGCCACCCAGAGAGCTGAGGGTATAAAGAGCTAAACGGCAGAGGTGATCCAAGGTATCCTCAGAAATATGCATTATACACATTTCATTATCATCTCACTTCACACTCGAAGCCCTGGCTGGGTATTAACACTCCAATCAACACTCCCCCTGGTTGCACAATTTATGAGAATTTGCCAGGACTTCTGAAATCAGACAGAATGAAGATCCTGCTGCTTCTCGATTCTGCTCCTGCATGCTCACCCCAGGGGACCAGCAGAGGCCTGGGTTCCCACGCTGCCCCAGCCAGTATGTGAGCACTGGCTCCGATCAGGTAATGGCTGCTCCCAAGACAACTCACTCCATCTGGGAAGGCTCTTCTATTGTTTTGTGAACTGCCACAGCTAAGTCAAGCTGAGAAGATTGTAGTAACAGAGGAACTCAGGGTAGTGGGTAGTTTACTGACAACTTGTAACTCAGGACCTCTTCTTGGAATTCACACTGGTTAAAGCTCAGGGTTAAGGGGGTTGGTGTTGAGGTGTAGTAGGCAGAGCTACTGTCTGTGGGGCCAGCATCCCATATGGGTGCCAGTTAGAGACCCGACAATTCCATTTCTGATCCAGCTTCTTGCTAATATGCCAGGGAGAGCAGCGGAAGACAGCATGAGTGACCCTACACCCATATGGGAAATTCAGAGAAAGCCCCAGATTCCTGGCTTTGGCCTGGTCCAGCCCTGGCTGCTGTGGACCTTCGGGAAATGAACCAGCAGATGGAAGATCACTCTCTCCTTGCCGCCTCGCTACCAGTGTGTGTCTTTCTCTGTGTAAGGCTCAGCATAGGCATGATGGGGCAGTAAAGGGGCTGTTTGGGTGGAAAGGGATGGAGTGGTGCTGGCCATGGAGTCACAGCTGTGGTCCTGCTCGCTCCCTCCGCCCTGCTGTGAAGATGGGGCAAAGCTAGGGCTCATCTTCTCTCCCTGCTTCACCCTTGTGGTCCAGAATCAGTACAGAGGAAATACGATTATCTAAGTCTGACAAAGAGTGTTCCGAAAGAGCAGCTCTCACTCTGATCTACATGCTGAGGCTTGAGTTAGAAAACAATCTCATTAAGCTGTCTTCCCAGAGCTGCTGAGTATCTCAGGGGAGCCAGAGGCAGGTGGCGTGCCTTGAAAGGGTGCAGTCTAGTGTTCTTATCTTTTTTTTTTTTTTCTGTGTTTAAGCAGGATTTTACAATGTGACTTGATCTGAGAGACAGAGAGAAAGAGGGGGAGAAAGTGTGAAAGACACAGAGAGCTGGTTCACACTCCATGTGTGATGACCAGGGCTGGACATCTGCTGGTCCCCAGGGGTTAGCGGGTAGGTGTCTCCTGGGGAGAGCAGGCAGGAGCAGAATTGGACTGGGTGCCAGGAACTCAATCCAGGCTTCCTGTATGGGTGACAGGAACTCAATCAAGCCATCACCTGCTGGCTTCCAGGATATGCACTAGCAGAAAGCAGAAAGTCAAAAACTGAAATCAGACCTAGTACTCAAACTCAGGAACTTTGATATGATGGCATCCCCACTGGTGCTTAATTACGAGGCCAAATGCCGCCTGTCACAATAACTTCTGCAGGCAAAATGCTAAAGGACCACGATTTAACACTGTGCTTCAAGTGAATCATGTCAGAGAACATACTCTGTTTCTTAATGTAAGGCCTAGAAGCTTTCACCATAACGCACTCATATTCAAAGCAAGGCTTGTTGGGGGGTGGGGTGAGGGAGTGCATGTGTTTGGCCCAGCAGTTAGCACATGAGCTCGGGTGCTTGCATCTTGCAGTGTCCAAGGCCCACTCCTGCTCTTGACTCCAGGTTCTTGCTCATGTACATCCTGGGAAGCAGCAGGTGATGGTTTACAGAGTCCCTGCCACCCACATACCAGACCTGAGTTCCCAGCTCCTGGCTTCACCCTCCTCTGGCTTCTGCCATTGGAGGCATCTGGAGAGTGGGATGGCAGACAGGTGCTTTCTCTCTGTACCTTGGTCTCTTAAATAGATGAGGAAATAAATCAAATGCTCATTTTAAAAAGTGGTTTGGATGACCCCCCCGCCCCTACTCTATCAGGGCTGCATAACATGTGTTTGGATCCTGGGATCCTGGATGCCCACAGGTGGGCACTAGGCTGCTAAGCCACCTGGACACTAGCCTGTGAGGAATCCTGGGAGTGGGGGAGGGAGGAGAAGGCCTTTCCCAAGTTGTGGGGCTGGAGAGTATGCCAAGTACCGGTAGTGCCAGAGGGACCCTGGAACACCAACTGCTTCCTAGGAGGTGATACCAGCTGGAGGCAGTGATTGTATTCAGGGGCTCCTGTTTTAGCCAAATACCAGGACTACAAGAACTCAGTCTGGACAAAAAGCCTACAGGCTGGGGTCCAAGCTCCAAAGGGAGAGGAACTGTCTTTGCCCTCCTGCCCTTTGGTGTACACGGTGAATGTGAAGGGTGAAGCTACTGTAATGTGTCAGCTGCAGCAGAGGCTCCTGAGGGCAGGCAGTGGCTGCCCAGACCCCCTTGCTGCTGCCTGGGCAGTACTGATGCCCCAGGACTTCCACCAGTGGGAAGCACACAGCCCTCTCCTGCCATCTGTCCAAGGTCTAAAGACCTTCTGCCTCCTCTCCTCCCTGCTGACACTCAGCACCTCACTGACCCA